TTCTCTGTGTAGCCTTGGCTGTCTTGAAAGACCAGGCTCGCCTGGAACTCACAGAGATCTGCTTGCCTCTGCCTCCCGAGTGCTGGGATTAAAGGTGTGCATCATTGTGCCTGGTTTAAGATTATTTTTATTTTATGTGCATGTATGTGTGCTTGATTGTATCTTCCCGCACCACGTGTGTAAGACAGCATTGGGTAAACTGGAGTTAGAATTATAACTGTTTGTGAGCCCCCTGTGCGGATGCTGGGAACTGCACTTGATTCCTCTGCAAGAGCAGCCAGCCCTCTTAACTACTGAACCAGCTCTCTAGTCTGGTTTGGTTTTCTCAGACTTTTACAGAGTCTTGAGCTCCCAGCAATCCTCCTGTGTGCTTCTCTCAAGTACTGAGGTCACAAGTGGGCTCTGTAACACTCAGATTGGGAGTGGGGAGGTGGTGTCTGAAGTGGGGGCAGAGCCATGCATGCTGGGCAGAGAAACTCAAGACAAGGTTGACACTGGGTCATTTCCCCACCTTCCTTTCTCAGGTCAGACAAGAGCAGTGTCTCTGAAGACTGTGGGCCAGGTGAGAAGTGTCATGTCTCTTTTGTATATAATATTCTGTGACTATAGAACCAGGAGGGTGGATAGCAGTCCCCTGCTGACAGCCAGGAGGAGACCTGCCCAGGCTGTGAGCCCTCAATACTGAGGATAGTTCTCTTCCCATGGCCATCCCACAGCCACACAAGGCAAGCAGTAGAGCATGCTGGGAACCCTCTGGAGAGGGAAGGGGAGTAGAAACCAAATCCTGGCATCACCACTGTCTGCTTTTGTGTCTGTAGACAAGCATCCCCTGTAAGCTCTTTAAATTAATGGTGCCAGGTTTGGCCTGAGTTTGTCCAAGGGCAGTCTGGTCCTTCCTGATCTGGGCAGGATCCAAGGGTCCAAAATGACTTTTCCTAGTTATTCACTGTTAAGTCACAGACATTTAAATGTTCTGGAAAGACTTGCTTTTCTGTGGGCATGCCCATGCCCCTGCCTGACAGGATCCTTCTTGTCTCTTTGCAGGAACCTCAGGAGAACTAGGAATGTTGAGGCCCATCAAAATTGAGCCAGAGGAGCTAGACATCATTCAGGTTACTGTCCCAGGTAAGAGACACACTTCAAAGGACTGCTGGTGCAGTCTGTTCTGTCAACCTGAACAAACAGGTTGACAGAAGCTGTGCTGCTCTGCTGCCCTGGGCCTAGTGCATCAGGCCAATGTATCTGGGTGGATTTTTTTTTTTTTTTAAGTGTTTGAGATATAGCCTGGGGTCTTCCACATTCTGAGTAAGTACTCTACCACTGAATCACTCCCCAGCCCCTCACTGGGGGATTCTAGGCAGGGGCTCTACCACTGAGCCACACCCCAGCCACTCACTGGGGGATTCTAGGCAGGGGCTCTGCCACTGAGCCACAACCCCCTTTTCGCTTTTATTTTGAGACAAGGTCTCACTGAGTTGACTGACCTAACCCTTAACCCATTCAGTAGCCCCTAAACTCTCAGTCCTGCTTCCTTCACTCTCCTGAGAGCTGAAGTCACCAAATCACAGGCTGTATCACATCTGGCTTAATGGATTTCTGTAGAATCTTGGTCTGTAGACCTACTTGGCCCATTGGCACCTCTGAGGGACCCTGATGGGCAGGACATGTAAAGGATGCTCTCAGCATGTGGAGTTTCCCTTTAGATCCTTCACCAACTTCTGAGGAGATGGCCGACTCACTACCTGGACACCTGCCCTCGGAGGATTCTGGTTATGGGATGGAAATACCGGCGGGTAAGAGGTGGGCTGGGGCTGGCCATACTGGGGACCTACCACCCTGGGGAGCTACAGGGAAAACAGGTGGGTTGGGAAGCACCTGAGTTTTTCTTGAAGTTGGGTGCCTTTGTTAGAGAAGGATCAACACAAGAGCCATGCCATACATATGTGGGACCACCTGTATCTGCAACTTGATAGATGCTTTCAGAGACGGGACCTCAGACTACGTGTCAGCTCATTGGCTTGGGTTAAAGCCTAGTAGTAGATTGCTAATGTGTTTGAGGGCTCAAATTTTACCCCCTAGCACTGCAGGGGGTGAAAAAACTGAACAAGTAAAAGTAACTCCCCCCAAAAAGCCAGATGTTGTGGGGCATTAATCCCAGCATTTGGGGGGGAGGGTGGGATAGAGGCAGGAGGATCAGAAGTTCAAGGGTATCCTTGGCTGTATAGCAATTTCTAGGCAACCTTAGGCTACATGAAACCAAAAATGGGGGTGAGAGACGCCTCGGCAGGTAAAAGCACTTGCTGTGTAAGCCTGATGACCTGAGTTCGATCCCTGGGATTCACAGGGTGTAATGAGTTGTTCTGTGACCTCTGTGTGTCATGCATATGTCCTCACACACAAAAACACACATACACCCCAACATACATACAAGCATGGGTAACATAACCAGACAGTGGCGGGACACGCCTTTCAACCCAGTGCTCAGGAAGCAGAAGCAGGCAGATTTCTGTTAGTTTGAGGCCAGCCTGTTCTACAAAGTGAGTCCCAGGATAGCCAGAGCTGTTACACAGAGAAACACTGTCTTCAAAAAAATAATTAAATAAATAAAGTGGTTTGCCTTTTCAGAGGACAGATGAGGGCATCAGATCCTCTGGAGCTGGCGGTGTAGACAGTTGTGAGCTGCCTGATATGGGTCCTGGGAACTGAACTCAGGTCCTCTGTAAGAGCAGTAATTGCTCTTAACCACTGAGCCATCTCCCCAGACCCAGAATAGTTATGTTTTACTTGTGTCTTATACAGATAACCTAAAGGTGTGCTCTATATCAAACACAAGACCTGGTACATCCCAGGCAAGCACTCTCGAGCTGAGCTGCATCCCCAGCTCTGTGTGTGTGTGTGTGTGTGTGTGTGTGTGTGTGTGTGTGTGTGTGTGTGTTCCTCCTGAACTGGTTGTTTAGTCCAGACTTGCCTCAAACTCCCAAGCTACTTACCTCAGCCTCCCACGTTGCTAGGATGAGAAGTGTTCTTGTTTGATCACAGATATTGACACACACACACACACACCAAAAAAAAAAAAAAAGAAAGAAAGAAGGAAAGAAAAAAAGAAACAATGTAAACAAGGAAAGGTTTATATGGGTCACAGATCCCGGTTTCAGGGAAGTCAAGATGATGGAACTTGAAGCCACTAGTCACATCCATTACATCTCTAGACAAGAGCAGAGGGGATGGATGCATACTCACTGCTCATTTTGCTTTCTGTATTCTTTTACTATTCAGGACCCAGACCCAGGGAATGGGACCTCTCCTTTTAGTCTGGGTCTTAACACACTATTAACATAATCTATACAGTCCTCCATAGACATGTCCACGGGCCAATCTGATTTAGACAACAACCCTATTTGACAGGCGATTCAAAATACCAAAAAAAATGGAGGCTGGAGAGATGGCTTGGCAGGTAAAAAGCACTTTTTCAAAATTTAAAACTAACCATTATTGCTGGTGTGCATCTCCATGGGTTTTGAGACAGGTTCTTGCTACATGACCCAGGCTATCCTGCAATCCACAGGCCTCCTGCCTCAGCCTCCCTGTGCTGGGATTATACCACAATGCACAGCCTTTTTTACATGTGTGTGTGTGTGTGTGTGTGTGTGTGTGTGTGTGTGTGTGTGTGTTTGTGTTGCCTACATTTTGTAAATTTTGTTTGTTTTGTCTTTTGAGACAGGGCTTCTCAGTGGAATGGTCCTGGCTATCCTGGAACTGAATTTGTAGACCAGACTGGTATCGAACTCACTGATATCTATTTACTTCTGCCTCCCGAGTGCTGGGATTAACTGTGTGCACCACCACTGCCCAGCATGAACATGATTTAAAAACAAAAACAAATGTATTTATTGTGTATACAGTGTTCTGCCTAAATGTATGCCTGCAGACCATAAGAGGATACCAGATCTCATTACACATGGTTGTGAACCACCATGTGGTTGCTGGGACTTGAACTTGGGACTTCTGGAAGAGCAGCCAGTGCTCTTAACCGCTGAGCCATCTCTCCAGCCTGAACATGATTTCTTAACATCTTCTGTTTTCTCCTAGACAAAGGCCCCAGTGAGGAGCCCTGGCAGGAGGAGAAGCCAGCAGAAGGTAAGACCCTGCCTATCTCCCATGGTTCCCTCTCCATGTTCACTCCACCCCTATGAGCAATTCCCCTTTGCTCCATTATCTCTCTCCAACGTCCTGCATTTGCACTGGGAGTCCTGTGTGAACTGTACTAGGTGGGAGAGATTTCTAGACTGTGCTAGAATTGGCAGGCATCTGTCAGAATGAAGGTTAGCTTTGGTCTACACACACACAGTGGCTTTCCATGAAGAAAGCCCGTCATCTAAACCGATTGTGCCCGTCATCTTCCTGAACTTGATTTTTAGCTTGAATATATACAACTGGTTTGCTGTAAGATTTGGTGAGCAAAACTGCCTTTTCTCTCTCTGTGGAGAGGTCAAGGCAAGAATATAATCTTGTTTGTCGATAGTGTATCTGCCCCTAGAATAAAACAACCCAGTGTAGAAGATGAATGCCACTTTGTAGAACCAGCTAGATGTAGACAGGGTACCTGTAAAGTATTAGGAAACATTTGGTGTGCTCCAAAGTCACAGAGGTAATTCCTGGTACCTCCAGAGATGGGGGTTTCTGCACCCAGGAAGCTCAGCACACTGCCTTTGCCTTCTAGAAAGCCCTGGTGATGTGATCCGGCCCTTGCGGAAGCAGGTAGAGATGCTGTTCAACACAAAATATGGTGAGTAGGGCCTCTAGGACAGAGAGACCTATCTTCAGGATGGGAACACTTGTAGTCAGTCACCCCCAGCAACAGCCTCTAGCAGAGAATCCCACCCGGCTGGCCTGTTGGTCCACATTCTCCCTCCAGATCATGTGCTTTTAGTTAGTCTCAACCATGGAGGGCCTCGTGGACAGCTCCAGGCTTTCATGGCAACTCACAGCAAGAACTAACTTTAACTTCCTGGGAACTCACAGCAAGAACTATCTTTCTCTGAAATTCAGAAAGGGGTGAGGGGTGACTCAGTGGTACAGTGTCTTCTTAGGATCCACCAGTGATGGGGCCAGGGGCATGGCTCACTGGTAGAGAGTTCCTACATAGGGTCTTCCAGTGAGATGTAGCTCAGTGGTAGAGCCCCTGCCTAGAATCCCCCAGTGAGGGGCTGGGGTGTGGCTCAGTGGTGGAGCACCTGCCCAGAATCCCCAGTGAAGGGGTAGATAATACCCTGGGTTCCATCCACAGCCCTACAATAAAACAACAAAGAGTCCAGGAAAGAGAAAGAGGTTGAAGAAGCCTGCTTCTCTCTAGCTCCTTGAGTTTGCCAGGTGCTGGCTTCTCAGACTCTCTCATCCCTTCCTCACAGTCCTTGTATCCTAAAACCCATTTTTCAAATGAGAAATATGAAGCCTGCTGTGGTGATGAGGCTAGCTTAGGGTACCAGGCTACTCAGGGGCAAAGAGCTCAGATAAAGCTAGTCATAGATCTGGCATGCCATGGGGCTTTGTGAAGGTTTAAGGTTTGGGGGGGGGTTCTTTGATTTTTTTTGAGACAGGGTTTCTCTATGTAGCTTTGGAGCCTGTCCTGGCACTCACTCTGTGGACCAGGCTGGCCTGGAACTCACAGAGATCAGCTTGCCTCTGCTGGGATTAAAGGCGTAAGCTACCACCGCCCAGCAAGGTTTGGGGTTTTTGAAGGTAGTGGGTGGAATGTGAAGTGAGATGAGGGACCCATAGTCAGGTCCCATATGTGGTCCCTGCATAAGTGAGGACTGGCTTTTGGGGTTTACATTCCCAGGGTGTGTGCCCACAGACAAGTCACCTCCCCTGTGGACATGCATACTACCTATAGGCTAGGTGTGCTTTTCTTCCCTCTGGCAAGTTTGTGGGGTTCAAATGAATGCCACCTCCAAAGCTCTGTGGTCCCTGCAACTCCGAGAGTGGTGGGCACAGGGTTGGGGGCTCCAGGTGGCCTTGCAGCAGCCATGTCTTTGCAGCCAAAGCCATTGGTACCTCGGAGCCAGTCAAGGTGCCCTACTCCAAGTTCCTGATGCACCCCGAGGAGCTGTTCGTACTGGGACTGCCTGAAGGCATCTCTCTTCGCAGACCCAATTGCTTTGGGATTGCCAAGCTTCGGAAGATTCTGGAAGCTAGCAACAGTATCCAGTTTGTCATCAAGAGGTAAGGCTGAACCTGGTGTGGTGGTCGGTTCCAGGCCAGCCAAATCTACCTAGTGAGGTGCTGTCTCAAAAAAAGAAGAGTGTTGGCTTGAAGGTGGGGGAAGGGAGATGAAAGTAATGAAAAAAAAATTGAAATAAGGGCTGGCCAGACCCATGAAGGACACAGTCAGAGTTGCCCAGTGCCAGACACAGCACCAAACTGGCATCTCCCTGTTGTTCAGATTGCAAAATCTTTTTTTCTTCCTTTTCTTTTTTGGTTTGTTTGTTTGTTTGTTTGTTTTTCGAGACAGGGTTTCTCTGGGTAGCTTTGGAGCCTATCCTGGCACTCACAGAGATCCGCCTGCCTCTGGCTCCTGGGTGCTGGGATTAAACTTCCTTTACTTTTTAAATTAATTTATTCATTTTTTTGTTGTTGCTGTTGTTTTGTTTGAAACAGGTTTTCTTTGTATAACAGTCCTGGCTTTCCTGGAATTCTCTTTGTAGACCAGGCTGGCCTCAAACTCAGAAATCTGCCTGCCTCTGCCTCCTGAGCTCTGGGATTAAAGGCATGCGCCACTGCTGCCCAGTTGTCCTTTACTTTTTTATTTACTTTGTTTTTTATTTTAGTGTATTTGGGTTTGTTGTTTATGGGGTTTCTTTTCCGGGGTTTTGAAGCAGCATTTCTCTGGAGCCTGTTCTGGAACTCACTTTGTAGACCAGGCTGGCCTCAAACTCACAGAGATCTGCCTGCCTCTGCCTCCCAAGTGCTGGAATTAAAGCCCTGTGCTGCTATCACCTGGCTCAGGCTACTCTGGAATTCACTGTATAGCTCAGGCTGACCCAAGTAATCTTCTTGCCTCAGTCTCCCAAGTGCTCTGGATTTATAGATGCAAGCCACCATGTCCTGCTGATTCTAAACTAGATTAGAATTGGGTATGATAACTACATAGCAGCACTTGGCTAAGTGCCAAGGCAGGAAGATATAAACCAGTGGTTTTACACCTTTCTAACATGTTGTGGTGACCCCCAGCCATAAAGGGTTTTTTTGTTTGTTTTTTTGTTTTTGGCTTTTCGTGACATGGTTTCTCTGTGGCTTTGGAGGCTGTCCTGGAACTAGCTCTTGTAGACCAGGCTGGCCTTGAACTCACAGAGACCCGCCTGCCTCTGCCTCCCGAGTGCTGGGATTGAAGGCATGCACCACCACCTCCTGGCCCATAAAGTTATTTTCATAGCTATTTCATAACTGTAATGTTGCTACTGTTATGAATTGTAATGTAAATATCTGTATTTTCCAGTGGCCTTAGGTGATTGTTAAGGATTGCTATGTGCGTGCGTGAGTGTACACACACACACACACACACACACACACACACACACACATCCTTAAGGGGTCTTGACACACAGGTTGAGAACCACTGGTATTTAGTTTAGACTATTATCACAGTACTTCACCTCAACAAAAATAAGAGAAGAGAGACGCTTTAGAGATGCCTCAGTGAGTAAAGTGCACTCTGTGAAAGCCTGAGATCCTGAGCTCAATCCCCAGAACCCAAGTCATACCAAAAAAAAGAAGAAGAAGAAGAAGAAGAAGAAGAAGAAGAAGGATACCCAGACAAGGTGTTTCGAACCTGTAGCCCCCAGTGCTGAGGAAGAAGAGATAGGAGGATCCCTGGGTTGCTGGCCAGTCAGTAACCAGTCAGTGTTGCCACACACCTTTAATTCCAGCACTGGAGAGGCAGAGGCAAGTGGAGCTCTGTGAGTTCAAGGTGAGCCTGGTCTACAGAAAGAGTTCCAGGGCAGCCAGGGCTACACTGTAGAATCCTGTCTGGAAAAACACATACTCACACACACACACACACACACACACACACACACACACACACACACACACACACTTAAAAATAAGACCTTACAAAAAAAGAAGAAGAAGAAAAGTGGAGAGCAATAAAGGAAGATAGCAGTTGTTGGCCCCTACATTGCACCTGTACATATGTGTGTATACAAACACACATATTGTTTCCCCAGGAGTCACTCACCCTCAATCTGGAGGCTGTGTGTTTCGATGCTAGGCAAAAGGGATTGGATGATGCCAAGTCTCTGGGGATCAGCCAGCCCAGGACTTGGGAGGAACCTCAGGGTTCAGAGCTGTTGACAGCTCCCGTCAACCAGGATGGCTGCCCCCTAGTGGCAAGGACCTTAATGCTATGTTGGCTAGGGAAAGGAAAGCCCATTGCATAGCTCTGTAGGCTGAACAACCCTAGGATAGTTGGACAAACCTCATTGATGGCACTGGTTATGTCTTCTAGACCCGAACTGCTCACTGACGGTGTCAAAGAACAAGTTGTGGCTACTGCAGGTACCTGGGCATGGGCAAGACACAGGTGGGTGTGGGAGGGCACCCAGTCTCTGCCATAGCCCCTCCTGATGCCCCTGTCCTATCCCCTACCCTAGGCATTTCCCC